GAAGAAGGGGACAACAGAGGATGAGATGGTTGGATGGCATCACCAAACTCGATGGACATGAGTTTGAGTAAACTCCGGCCTGCCATGCTGCAGTCCCAGTCCATGGGGTCACGAAGAGTCGGACACGACTGAGCGACTGAACTGAACTGAGTAGCCAAATCACCGTTTGGTTTTGGTATGAGTGCACTGCAACTCTCCTTGCTAAGCACTGTGACCCACAGAATCTATCTTTTATTAACATGGGAAGATTTTAGTTTAGGTAAGAGACCTTTAAACTCAAGTGGATGTTGCTATCAGATGTTAATATAAAAGAGCTAAGGTCAATAGAAACAGAAACCCCATTCAGGTTGAACAACATGCAGAGAAAATGTCCTAAGTTCAGTTAAGAGGAATGCCATGGGTCAATTTGGTTTAGACTGATCACTTGTAATTATAATATTCTGTGACTCTTCCAGATTTTTTCCTACAGAACTAAGTTATAATACAGCTTAACTAGAGAAATTTAAGAATTCAAAGTTTAATAGACTTGTGCTAAAAAAAAGAAAAAAATTCACATTGGATATCATTATTTAGCATTTGTTGAGCTCCTCAGGTCTTATAACAGGTTATGAAATACAGTATTAAAAGTAATCCTATAATCCCTAGGAAAAAATGTTGGCCTTTTCAACTCTAGCATGAAAAGATGGGGCTGTCTGTATTATAAGTCAATCCGCACTCTTAGAAACCCATTAAAATAGCTGGATATTATGTTCAAATCTCTTAGACTCCTTTGGTACAAAAAAGGGATTAGAAACCTGACTATTGAGAATGTTTTAGGCCTGTGCACGGTTAAACTTACTCTTAAATCTGAGATTTGCAAGAGTTTTCCCTGAGGAAGAAAGCACTAGTACTTTTTTTTTTTTGGCTTTATAGCATAATAATAATGCAATAAAAATAATGAATGTGTATTTTTACTAAATAAATAATAAAACAAGAAATCATAGTTAAATGCATGTATCTGATACATAAAGAAGCATTTCTTTGTATTCCAGGGGAAAGGGAGAAACTAAAGATAACTGTCAGAGCTTCCTTCTGGGCTCCTCGCAGGGAGGAACTCATTTCATTCTCACGGTGTATTTACGAGACGGGAGATTTTGGAAACCAAGGTTTGGGAAGCCTGGATCTCTCTTCCGAGATCAGGAGGCTAATGGAAGCAGGGCTGAGGCTGGAGCCCATTCTGCTTAGCCTTTGTTCTCAGGGTATGTCTTCACACTCCCACACCAGCTAACAGATTATTAGTCTACCAAAAGTGATCCTTTCTGCCTCCACAGAATCCTAGATTTCTCAAAGAGAAGTAAGTAAAAAAGAACTCAGTCCATATTGAGTCATAGACCAAGCTTCTGTTTCTGTTCACTGGCTAATACGCTCAACAGTCCAGTTACTGTGCAGTTTCTAAAATGTTCCCTGGCTGTAGACTACGTTGCTGACAGGTCCTCTCCCAGGAGTGAATCAGGATCACTGGGGAACCTTCAACGTCCCCTCTTCACTCTACCACTCCCCTCCTTGTCTGCCCCCTCTGCCTTCTCCACCCCGGGACAGCTGGGAATGACGAAACCTGCTACAGGGAGACTGTGCTCCTGCCCCCTAACTTTAGAGTCTAGGGTCCTGGGGACATACAATTAGGTTTATTCCTGGAAAGATTAAGCAGCTTCCTGCCCTTCACCCGTAATTGGGAGGAGTCTTGCAAATCCAACTAGAATTCAGAGTGCTTTAAGTACAATATACTCCACTAGGCCCTGCAGCAACCATTCTCCAATAGAACCATTCTCCAATTAGGATCCCTAATTCTTTTCCAGAGACAATTTTTATTTTTTCCTTCTTTCTTTGAAGACCTTCTCATTGCATGCATTGAGACAGCAACAGGAAATCTCTTTGGCTTCCTTCCTTCCTTCCCACTATTTATAGTTCCAAATGTTGCCAGGTGTCAGCAACAAAATTAAAGCGGGACCATTAGAGTCTCTCCAAGCTGTTGTTGTTACTTAGGGTTCACCTAATGTTTTACATTAGCAAGTCGCAGTGCAGTGGCCTTTATTCAACTATTCCGGACATTTTAAAGATGCTGAATGATTTACTCTTTTCCAGGCTCCAGACAAAGCTTCTCTCTGTGCTGTGCACATTTAAGCTGCTAATTCCAAAAGAATTGAGCCTGGGGGAGTCATGATTCAAGCTGAAACTCTCCTTTGAAAGTGCCTGTGCTGGCTGGAGTGTACTCAACTTCCTGTTGTGATAAAGCAGGTAAGTAGCTATGCTTTAACGCCAAAGAAATAGAGCAACTGCTTAAGACGGTAATTCCCACACTTTTAAAAGCAGGCGCACACCTTCATCAACAGGTTCAACTCATTTATCTAAAAAATGAGAATGGTTTTAATTAAGAGATAACTTCTGGAAAAAAAGAAGAAGACTGCTTTCTCTATTGCTGTTGCTTAATTAGCTTTATCACAGAAGAAAGCTGGAAACTCCTAGCCTAGTTAAGTTTCATAACCGTGACCGGAAGTGTCTGCGGGTGGGTGCCTGGAGGGACAGGGGTCTCAGAACACCTCATTATGAACAAGCTTATGTTCTGGCCAGCGGGTTGGTTAGGGATATGAGACATATAACCAAGTGCTGCCATCTCCTCCCAATCCTGCCAAAAAAAAGAACCAAACCTCAAAAAATAACTGAGTTTCCCAATCTATACATGTCCATGAGGAATTATAATGGAGACATTAGATGACTGGAACTTGAATTCAGCAGACCTCCTTTGAAAGTCAGCCTGGCATTTGTAGGACCAGAGAGAGAGATAAGGCAACTAGGTTTCTCTGCTACTGTTTGCTTTGAGCAAGTCCACGTGCTTTATAGTTAATTCTCACCAAACCCTTTGGGAAATAAGAATTTTTGCATCACTTTAGAAGATGGTGAAAACAGAATGGACAAAGGCTCTGACTTTGATCACACACAAACACAACGCAAACCAAAGCTGAAACCGTATACTAATCCTGTGTCCAGGGGAAGTGGACAGCCTGTCTGGCTTCAAAACCCCTGCTCTTTCCACTGTGCATGCGGAGTGTTGTTTTTGTTGCTGTTGTTTTTTTTAACAAACACTATTCAGGAGGCAAAAAAGAAATTAGCGTGTATTAACACTGTTTTTGAATATATGTGTAGTTGTTGTTGTTCAGATGCTAAGTCATGTCCGACTTGGCAACTCCAAGGACTGCCGCGTGCCAGGCTTCTACTTACATGCGTTTCAGTTCTAAAAATTACAGAAGTACTGGCAGCAAAGAAGACATGCCCAGAAATCCAGAAACGAAAGCAAACCGGAAGACTTCAGAACTGGAATTAGGAAAGACGCAAAAGATCATTCTGTGGCCTTCTATGAAGAGCATCAGCTGCTGAAATTATTAATGTCCTTTACAGCATTCCCAGAGAGAAATGTCACCAGTTTCTTCTCAATTGAGTCTCAGGTTTCCACCACTGAACTAGAAACTTAACTATAAAATCAAATACAGTATCTCCACATATTCCAACCCCTACCCCCACCTCCCACTCCATGGTCCAAGTCCATTTGCACCAGCCCACTTCTGAGTAGTCGGGGGCAAGGTTCAGTTCCCAAATCTCATTGTGTAAAGAGTTAATGTGAACATTAATCTATCTAGAATCTAATGATCCTTTAATTGCTCTAGGTTTAGGTAGCCTGGCCAGGGTGGGGCGGGGGTGGGGGGGTTGCTACTAACAAAGGATGCTTCCAATCTAACAGTTTATGAGATTATGAAGATCTTTTTTCTTAAACAACAAAAAAGGTCTTTTAGACAAAACACTTCATTTTCACAGTCCCAGGCTTTTAACATGTGAATTTCCTCATTTTCTTCACAGCTAAAATCAGTGCGCAAATACTTTTATTAAAATGCATAAGAGTTGCTGTTTGAGGCTTTTCAAGAGGTTAGAGAACGATAGGTTTATTTGCAGCTATCTCATATTGATTTTTCTGTCATCTTTAGGATTAACCAATTTGCTCCAAATAAGATTTCTGTACTACCTGCACCAGAGAGAATTTCAAAAACCCCAGTAGAGAACTTAAAGAAATAAAAGATATATAGAAAATATCATAGCAGAAAAAATATTTTTCTTTATTTTACTTTGCAACTTACTCCAGAGACTTCTAAATAGTATGAATGTAACACCCGGCTGTGGAAATAAACCAAGACCAACCAAAGGAGGAAAGGAAAGGCCACCCATTCGGAGCTTTCTAGAGCGACGGTTCAAAAAACCTGGGAGCTTAGCAGGTAAGATCTGAAGCCGGGCCCCAAACACGGAGGCAAGGAGAGAAGGAAGAAAGAGGCAGTCCACTCTGGATTGGTAGGTAGTAGGTTTAATAATATCGGAGAAGGCAATGGCACCCCACTCCAGATCTCTTGCCTGGAAAATCCCATGGACGGAGGAGCCTGGTGGGCTGCCGTCTGTGGGTCGCACAGAGTCGGACACGCCTGACGCGACTTCACTGTCACGTTTCACTTTCCTGCATTGGAGAAGGAAACGGCAACCCGCTCCAGTGTTCCTGCCTGGAGAACCCCAGGGACGGGAGCCTTGTGGGCTGCTGTCTGTGGGTCGCACAGAGTCGGACACGCCTGACGCGACTCAGCAGCGGCAGCAGCAGCAGGTTTAATAATATAGGCTTCTCGGGTGGCGCTCATGGTCAGGAACCCGCCTGCCAGTGCAGGAGACTTCAGAGGCGTGGGTTCGACCCCTGGGTGGGGAAGGACCCCTGGAGTCCATGGCAACCCGCTCCAGTGTTCTTGCCTGGAGAACCCCGTGGGCAGAGGAGCCTGGCGGGCTGCAGTGCAGGGTCTGCACGCGACTGAAGAGACTCGGCTAGGCGCAGCGCAGGTTTAATAAGCAACGGGCGGGGGGTGAGGCTTCAAAACTTACTTATCAGGCTTGTCCGGAGCCCTCGCAAGGGTATCGCATTAACAGATCTCGCACCCGCCATGAGAACTTGGGAGGTTCACACTGAAGCCTTGCCTGGGTTCGGCCACGCAGGCGGTAGAGACGGGCTCAACGCCTCAGGCCGCGTCCTTGAAGAGGGCTGCAGCCGCGGAAGGCGTGGCAGGACGTGCACTCCGGGGCTGGGTGCGGGCGAGGCCGCCTCTGCGCCCCGGACCGGCCCGCGGGCCAGCTGGCGGCCTGGTCCGCTCCGGGTCCTGAGCTGCCCAGCCCCCAGACCTCCTGAGGGCCTCTGGCAGCCGCGCACGCTCCGCTTCTGCGCCCTGCCCCGGGCATGCCGCCAGGCGTTGCGCTAGTAAGAAGCGGCGCGGCTGGCTGGCTGCGCTGGAGGCGACACCCAGCAGCGGTAGGGGAACATACGAGAGAAAACACAGGTCTACACGATTCCCGACGGGGAACTCTGCTCAATGTTATGGGGCAGCTCGGGTGGGCGGGGAGTTTGGGGGAGAATGCAGACATGTATATGTGTGGCTGAGCACCTTTGCTGTCCACCTCAAACTATCACAACATTGTTAACCATCTATACTCCAAAATAAAATAAAGTTAGAAATAATTCCTAAAATAAGTAATGATTTTTTTTTCCCCACCAAGAGCCCTCTGATCTGAACCACTGATTAATTAAATCTCCTGGGCTGAGGGTCAGATCAGTCAAGACATTCACTTCTGTCTTCATGTGATTTAATAAAGATGACACTTTGGCAGACTCATCAGGTATGTATGTATCCACAACACTCTGGATGATGGTGCCTCCTTGTGAGGCAGTAATAATGTTCAAGGCCATGGTGTTCTTGGCATCATGTCCAAATGCCAAGAGAATTGCAGTGTTCAGTAAAGACAGGCTTTGTCATTAAGTTTTGCTGGGTAAACTTAGTAAGGGTGTCTGTGGGGGTATAATGTCTTCCAGGCCGGACAAGAACCAGCGGCCAGATGCCCATACCAGTGGGAAGCATCATCACCTGGCTGTGAGAGGGAGGTTGGTGACTTTTGTTACCGTGGGTGGATTCTCCCAGGGTGCAGCAGCGCAACCTCCCAGGTGAAAGCCACAGCAACCTGTTTAGGGATAGCCAATAAACATCCGCGAAGCGGGGCCAGTCAGTGCCAGACCAGCCTCCATCCTTTAGTATGACAGAATGATTACATAGTTCCAGTGATATCCACATCATATCCCTGGTGCAACTGGGCTGGTTCTATTTAGAGTGATTTTTCTGTTTCTAGAATGGAGGTACCTAGGTTCAAATATCCATAACCCTGTGTGAGCTACATGAACCCTCCCCAAATCAGAATGGTGGAATATTTCACATAAAAAGAGGACAGCATTTTCACTTCACTTCTTTTTCCTAATATCATTTATACTGTTTTCTCTCTACCTTCTATTTTCCTTGCAATTTATTATTTGGCTCGGGTCAACTGATTTTGTTCTTTAAGTCTCTGTACACTCTGTCAATGAGAATGAGACCTTGTTGTGAGTCAGAATAATAGGAAAATCTAATTTAGACTTCATAGAGAAGGATGCTGACCTGTATAGATAAAGCTCATTCTAACCACTTTGGACAGTAAGAAAGTTAAATGCTAATTATAATTATTAAGCCTTATTGTCTTTTCCTGTTTGTCCTATTTCTGCCTCTGTCTCTCTCATCACTTTGCCAAGCATCCCCCATGACACTTCTTTTGGGCTAAAGCCAGGTGACGAACCCCTGCAAGAGTCCTTCTCAGTGAAAGCACCAACTCATTCTTTTGAATCTATCTTCATTTACCTTTACACTTCTCTCCCCTTTATTCATCTTCATTACATTCTATTTGTGTCTATTGGTGAAGAGATGCGGTTCTTCCTCAAATAGTCTAAGCGCAGCACAATTAAAATGGAAACAAAGAGGAAACCTGAATGTGCTAAAAGTATTCCATATTCATTCTGAATTCCTTTATACTCCAGGCATGCACGCCTACGTTTATGACGATAACACGTAAGAAAAGGAGGAGAAAATGTTCTGTCCCTTCTTGCTGCAAAATGGCATTGCACATCACCAAAAGAGAGTGAATATACAATGGACAACAGCTGGACTATGTGTACAAATAGAGCTGTGACTCACAACCCCCTTCTCTATAATAAACAGCCTAGGAAGCCAGCCTGCTGTAAATGGTGGGGCCCACTTGGAATTCCAGAGTTGAAATGAAGATTATTTTAAGCTGAAACGTTTGAGATTCAGTAGTTTCAGAGAGAAGTCTTCTTGGAGCTTCCTATATCTGATAGGGGGGAAAAAAAAACCAGCAACTTCTGGGAAATGATGCTACCTATTTGGGACATGAGAGGTGAAATCCCTGGGAAAGTGAGGAGAGTGACGAGCAGGATAGTGTGGCCACGGACCATGAAATGGACGAAATGTCCAGTGTGGTCCAACCCTTAGTAAAAGAAAGGCAATGCACAGCACCATAACCCAGCCGGTAGGGCAACCCCCCATTCAGGAAATGTTCATGACGAGAGAATACACTCCCACTGAGCTTAATGAGATAGGTGCTCAGTTTCAGGCCTGGTCAGTGCGGCTCTGAGGGGCAGGGCGGGCTGGGATTCCCCCGACTGGGCAGGTGGCAGAGAAGATGAGCAGCATCTCCACCCGCCCTGCCCTCTGACAGCGCCTGCCAGAGGCGTGCTGGGGTGTGGGGGGACTTTGAGGAACTCTCCTTTGTTTCTTTGGAGTCTCTTCGCACTAGAATATATGCTTCGTGATGGTTGATCGCGAGGCTCTGGTCTGTTTTGTTCACTGGTGTGCATCACCAGCATCCAGTGAACCCAAACCTTCTTGGCAGTGCTCAGTAAACACTTGAAGAAACTATAGGGGACATGGAGCAGATCAAATGAAAACAATAAAGGCAAAAAGCAGATATTCTTGTTGTACCCTGGCTTGTCAATAATGTCCTACCATGATAGACAAAACAAAGAAGTGATTCATGGGGACTCATTGCCCTTGATCAAGCCGAAACACCAAGGCCCAGCATTAAAATCTTCCCTTCTCCTCCTTCTTTTGATGACAACCAGGGTTCTCAGCCGCCCCCAATCAATAGACATTGACTAGAGGCCAGATAAATTCAACCAAGGCTTTACTGGGGCCGCTGCTGCAGCAAGGGGGAGTAAGAGCAAAGAACAGGCTTCCTTGCTTGTTTGTTCCTTGGGAAGGGATGAACGTGTTCCTTATGTGGGGTGAGGTTAGAGGTATGGCCGGGGGTCAGGCCGGAGGGGTGGCTTAGGTGTTGTGCCCACCCACCGACAATGCTGAGTGCAGGAGGCATGCACAATACCCTGCTTTTGTTCCCAACACTCTGTTTTTGCCCTGGGCACTTTTTGGTCTTTCTGTATCTTTTGTCCATAATTTGTCCCAACTGCACATGCAGTTATTTTTAGTCCCTTACAGTTCCTTTGTATTTTATGTCAGTCATTCTAGAACCTAAGCATCCTTCTTCCAAAAAAAAAAAAAGTGTACAAAATAAAATTCTTTTTTTTTTTTTTAGCAAAATAAATATTCTCTATTGTTAAAAAAAAAAGTCTTCAAGTTGATGTTTGGTAGAAGCCAACACAATACTGTAAAGCAATTAACCTTCAATTAAAAATAAATAAATTACCAAAAAAAAATCTCATTGAGCTTTTACCTCCACCAGCTGTCCCAATCTCTTACCTTCCTCTCACAACTACATTTCAGGAAGAAATGGCCTGTACCACTGACCTCCGCTGTCTTACCTTCAAACATCGCACATGTCAGCTCCCTTCCATCAGGCTTTGATTCACACACATGCTCTCCTGATCTCCTTTCTCCCAGGTCTGTCTTTCTCCTCCCTTTTGCAGGACCTTCTTGCTCAGCTCTGAGATAGTGGTTGTCTCCTTTCAGCCCTCTCCCCATGTATCAACTCTATTCTTGGACAGTGGCTTTCGCTCTGTGGGATCAGCCCATTACCCCAGCCCGCCTCCGAGCAGAGCTCTAGGTTAATACTGCACAGTCATCTCCTGCTGGGTGTCTTTCAATCACATCAAAATCAAAAGTGCAAATCTGAAATTTCAGACTCGAATGTGACAGTATCTCGTTAAACATGTCCTCCTCACACTGCTCCTCCCCTTTTGGGAGCCCCCACCCGTGAACAGCATCCTCATCCACTGAGACAAGGGGACCAGCCTAGACTTCGCCTTGACTGCCTGCTCTCCCACATTCAAAATGGCATGCTTGTGCAGGCTGAGATCTCCAGGAAGCAGGCTCTGAGGCAGAGGTAGTGGGTAGGAAGCTAAGGAAGCAGTGCCCTTCACGTTTGCAGAAGGGGAGTCAGGCGGGATTAAGCAGGAGGAGACATTTGTAGAAGGGGAGTCAGGCAGGATTAAGCAGGAGGCAGGCTTTAACGCAGTCCCAACAAGGGCCTGAGCTGACTCCACTGGGAGCTCTGATACTTAGAAGTGACTTTTCAGAGTTACCTGAGATCGACTTAGATGGCAAGGCCTTTATGCTGCATCATCAATACCATAATTTGCAGAGTCCAGTGCAAGATGAAAATGCAAGACTCTATTTAAAAATTAAGGTTTCCAAGAGAGTAACAGCGGAACATTAAACCAAGCACTGTGCTCAGGGTGCCGTGTGACTGCATGCATTGCAGGTTCATGAAGCTGGGACTGGTCCTCGTCCCTGCGTGGAGGCAAGGTCTCTCTGCAGCTGAGATCATGCCTGAAGGGGCTGGCAGCTGAAGGCTGTTTTCCAGTGGCACTCCCAGCAAAGGAAGCAACTGAACATCACTCGTGAGGCATCTGGGCCTGGGTCCCAGTGTCCACCACAGTAACCAAGCCTGTCCATTTTTACCACCTTGAAATTTCTCACATCCATTCTCTCTTCACAAGTGACCCCTCTAATCAATAGAATTAAAGTTCTCATCATCTTGCCTTAACTACTGAAATAGTCCCATGCCTGTTAATTTCTCTTCTAGTCTGGTCTTCACATCCTCCACGACTAGAGATGAGACTAACATACTAAATTCCTAAAATACTAAATGGCTTCCATTGCCCACAATATTAAAACCTAAGCCAACATTTCCCAAACTGTGTTCATAAAACAACTAGTCTTCAGAGTAGAAAAAATATGATGCAAGTTTTCTTCTAAATTATTTTTAAAATTCTTATGTAACAAAAATACTAAGCCATTACACAATTATATTTATAATTTTATGATAATCACGCCAAAGGATTGGTAAGTTATACCTCAGAACTCCAGAGGTAGCAGGAAAATTCTCCTAATCAAAGAGTTTTATTCAATCCTGCATATTAACCCCTAAA